GCATCCCACTTCCCTGCATGAAGGACAGTTTTTCTGAAGGATGTTCCTCCCGCAGCTGGTGGGTGTGGGGATGCCAGGCCAGGCTAAAGGGAGACGTAACGTGCCACCTCAATTGGGATCATTGACCAGAATTTGAGATTGATTGTGTTTGGTGGGGGGTGGGTGGAGCGGTTTGGAGTAACCTCTCATTTGGGTGTGGGGGAACCACCTCCAAAGTTCATGTTGTTGATCGCTCTTATCGTTGAACAAGATGGGACTATGAATATCCCTGGAGTCTCTTCTGTGATACCTTTGCAGAATAGCAGAGTTCTAAGGGAGATGGGAGGTCTTCTAGTCCAACCCTCTGCTCAATAGAAGACCGTATTCCATTTCAGACAAATCCATTTCAAACAAATCTCTTCTTGCAAAGCTCCCACGATGGAGCACCCACAAGTCCTTCCACTGATGAATTGTTCTCACTTGTCGGGAAATTCTGCCTTAGTTTTAGATTTTGTGTTTCTCCTTGATTAATTTCCTGTTGTGGTTCAGATTCGGATGGTGAGGAGGTTGAGGAGAAACCTGGGCCAGTGCTGGAATTTGGGGAAGGCTCTGATGAGGGCTCTGTGTCAGAGGCAGAGAGGGGGCCTGGGCTGTATGCCAGTTATCAGCTGCCTTCGGAGTCAGACATCAGTGAGGCAGAAGAACAGCTGGAGCCTGTTCCCAGTGTGCGCATGCAGAGTGGCCAGACGAAGGGAACAGCTAAAGAACAGGGGTTGACTTGGGAGTAAGGCCACAGGTGGACAGTGAATGGCCCTCCCAGAGGAAACAAAAGAGGAGCGAAAGGGGAGTGGAGTTTGCAGGAGACAATTAGCTCACTTAATTGGTTTGTGACTGTCCAAGACTCCTTGCCAACTTTTGCAGAGATCGGACTGGCAGCTCTCCAAGCCAGATAAGGTCTGTTACTGTAAATCCTCCCTCGAAAAACTTTGCTGGATGTGAAGGAGCAGAATTCGCAGTCAATTAATAAAAGGGGTTTTTGTCGGGACCAGGAGTTGGCTTCATGCTCCATCAGAACATTTGCATTCATGGCTTCTTATCCTGCCTTCAAGTGCTTTGGGGAATAGATGTACCCTCTCTTCTCTGGAATAGCCCCTCAGGTACTGGAAGACTGCTGTCATGTCACCCTTAGTCCTTCTCTTCGTCATACTGGATTCGTTAGACTATTTCTTGTCATATGTAGTAGAAGAAAAGCCGCAAATGAAGTGGAGAATAAGGTACTATTGTGGCTGCTGCCACATACCTCCCAGCGGCCAGTAAGATCCCACAGATTGGGCCTCCTTCAGATGCCAAACAGTGTCAGCTGGTGGACCCTCGGAGGTGA